TCATGTTACAGTGGACAACCAATGCATTTTATGTATTATTTTGTAAAATGTCTCTTTTGTGTTCATATAATCTTTTATTTAGATTGCTTGAGGTTTTTCCTATACATTTTTGACAGTTATTACAAGCAATCAAGTAAATTCCTACTTCAAGTTTTAGCTTATTGTTTTGTTTAGTATTGACTAAGTTTTTTTATTGTTTTAGATGTAGTAGTAACAAATTTTATGTTGAGTTTAGATAGATTCTTTCCAGTTATAGATGTGATAGAGTTAGTTGGTAGGACAATATATTTTTTTTGATTCATTGAGTTTTGTCAGGACAGGCCATTTTTCTATTTTGTTATGATGAGAATAGAAATTTATTATATCATTTTTGTTGGTTGATTCCCAGCATGCCTGGTTGGTGTGCCTGTGTAGTCACACCAACATAACAAATTTAGTCCGATGAAGTCCTAAAGGATGAAACGCGTCAAGAAAAAAAAACTTTTTTCCACTTCATCATACAATTTTCACAAGTATTGTTCTTGATATATATATTGTTATCTCATATATATATATATATATATATATATATATATATATATATATAAGAAAGTATGTGTTAGTTACCCCTTTGAAATTATTTTTCTTCTAAAAATGTTTCCATTTAAAACTGAATGGTTTATTTTTGTAAAGCTGTTAATTACAGCAATTCACAGTTTGTATTGAGTGACGCCCACCAAGAAAAGCTTTCATTTTAAGAAATAAAAATAAAACAAAACTTTTTGCTATTAACTTTATTGAACAGTGTATTTACCATTTCGATTGACTATTTCCTGCCCTCTTTTAAACAACTTCATATTTCCATCCTCCAAAAACTTTCCTTATTTATTAAAGAACTGGGTGCATATTTTCTTTCTTTTTTTTCAATCTGTCTTCAAATTAAAATGGCTATTATTAAGAGAGTTCTGTAAAGACTGGAATAAATGGTAAGCAGAAAGTGCAATATCTGGTTAGTACCGGTCACCAAAGATGGATGCAGTTTAGTGTTAATGATACAAATAAAGTTGGAATTACAATGCAAGAGATTATATGTGAAGATCAAGTTGAACAAGACACAATTAAAGACTGCTTTCTGTTAATCATTTGAGAGATCACTTTCTGTCTACCATAAAGTGGAAAGATTATACTGAATCCATTGCTAGGTCAGCTGCTAAGAAAGTTGGTTCACTGTGTCATGCAAGACAATTTTTTTCTCCAGAATTTTACATATCTATAACTTCGACATTCCTCCATGCTTAGAATATTGCTGACACATATGGTCTGGTGCTCCTGCTATATATCTATAGATCCTTGATAAAATCCAAAGAAGAATCAGCAATATTATTGGTCCTGATCTGGTAATTGGTCGGATAAACTCTTTGTACCTAGACTTTATGAATTTAAATACAGTACTAGAGGGTGACAAGGTCTAATCAATTTACAGTTAAGTTAGCTAGTTATAACCATAAGTTCTGTGGTAACAGTTTCTTTTCTTGCACTTGTGGAACTCCATGCTTTCCAGTCAACTTTAATCTTAAAACATTTAAATAGAATGTCAATCGTTATCTGCTCTCTTCCTGATTACTCATCTATTGTTCTCACCCCTTAGTAATATTTCCGTTTTCTAATTCTTCCACACCTATTAACCTCTTGTCTTAGTGGCTATACTGCCTTGCTTGGAGTGAACATGATTTAAAAAAAATATATATATATAACTGTTGTAGCCTTGTTAGGGCCAGAAATAAAGACACAAAGAGAGGAATTGAGTTAAACAAACAGAAACAGTAATATAAACATATACAAACGAGAGTGTTACAGCAAGAATGTTCAGTGTAACTGTCAGAGCTGACTACTGGAAACTTCCCTCTCCAAAAGGCAGTACCTGCTCCTATTTATATCTGGAAGTCCATGCATGTGTGGGTAAATTACCATAGCAATAGCGAAGACTACAATTTGTGCATTGTCCCATGGTCTTGGGTTACATCAAAAGCAATACTACAAGTGTATTGAAGTGTTGGTTCATGAAATAAGGAGCTGCTTTCGACTGTGTTGGGAGCTTGAGTATGCAGCCACAAAATATTCATTTCCAATCTAAAATAAAAAACAGCTGATATGCCATGACAGTCATCTGTAGCAGAATGATTTTTCAAACAAATCGCCAATGACCTGCTACTTTAAGCCTTTGTTGTAAAAATAAGCTCCTTCTATGTGTTGTGTCTCTTCATTATGTGAGCAAACATGGCTCTCCACCACTTCCTATCATTTATAGCCATAAACAATGTTTGTCCCCTTGCTACTTGTCCCAATCCTGTTCTGTCATCCATTAACAAAAGCTTATTAGGTAAATGTTTCCCTCCACCTCTTGCTATGTCTTGTGAGTGTCAAATTCTCTAAGCCTTCTTTCCTAATTATGTATCTAAAAAATTTCAACTGTTCTTTTTTTATTCCAAGTATCCTTCTGTTTCCAGTTTTCTTAAAACTTCCTCATTGCTTACAAGCACCATCTACAGTATTCTCAGCATCCTTCTGTAGAACTGCATTTCTGTCAATTCAAGTATCCTCTTCATCTGTAAGGAAGGTGGCTAACATCAACACTAAAAATTGAAACTGTATCAGTAGATAGATTACTTCTATATAAAAAAAATATTATTCATGACAGAATGGATAACTTGTGATAGATAACTGTTCTTTGGGTTGGGTGGGTTGATTTTCTAATATGTCAAACCTTGTTGTGTTCTTTAATGTCAAAAAGAATCTTTTTTTTTATTTCTTATATGAATCATATAAACATTTACTTGATATGTGGATAGATAAACATTGTTCATTTATATTTGAGTCTATAAACATTTGATATGTGGATAGGTAAATATTGAACATTTATATTTGAGTCTATAAACATTTACCTGATTTATGGTTAAGTAAATATTGAACATTTATATTTGAACATATAAACATTTACTTGATATGTGGATAGGTAAATATTGGTCATTTATAAACATTTACTTAATAGTTAGCCTCTATTGGTGGTGTTACCCATCTGCAGGTATTCCACTGATGCAGCAAAGTTGAATACTTTATTTATGATCAAAATTAAAAGAAAAATAAGAGACTGAGGTTTTTTGATAGACGTCATTTTTTGTGAGTTGGGGAGTCATGTAAGAATTAGAAAAACCAAGTGGAACTTTATCAGCCAATGTTTTTGTTCAAATATATTTTGATGAGGAAAAGATTTCTTCACTTCACTGCAATAAACACCAAATAGTATTACATTGCAGGTACTTAGTAACATAAACAGGTTGACATTTGTACAGACACACATAAGAACATTTTTCTCTCATGTAAACACTTATAGTCATATCATATTGAAACACTGATTCTCATACTGAAGTTAAGCAACATCGAACCTAGTCAGTACCAAGATATGTGACTGCTTGGGAATGTCAGGTGATGTAATGGATAACAGCTCAGAACAGGAAATTGAAGAGCCAAGTTCTAATTCCAGTCGAGTTCATTATGTTCACTTGTGCATAAATACCATCGGGAAAGGCATGAATCCACATCTTCTTCACCCACAGCTGTGGGTTAATTAGTAGGACTTGTATCAATAAGTCATTGTTATCTCAAAAAAATTCTTAAAATCAAAAAATATTTTCTGGCTTTAAATAATTTGCCAAAGGTTGATAATCCATAAAAAATAAACTCATCAATCAAACTCTTATGTAAAATATCAAATATCTGAATAACAAGGAATTTTCTACAAAAGAAAGTTGATAAAAATCTATTGAATACTGAATACATTACTTTGCTATATTCCTACTTATTACAGACTAGCAGCATGGCCCAGTGTTGCACGTGCTTGATTAAAAAATCATATGACTCATACAGCAATCGCTATCATTTGACTTAAATTATTTTTGCCCTTCCTTGCCTTTAAAGAAGTACCCTTTGCCGTGCTGATGTTGCTACATGCCTTACTTCTTGCCTATCTCACACTGCTAATTTTTTCTAAGCTCTATACTAAACATTAAATCTATTACAAAAAAAGAATTAAACAAAATGAACACAAAACGATCAGCTTAAAAAAAGGACTTGTAACTGGAAAAACCGAATGAAAAAAGAATGTTAACAACAAATACTTTTTCGCACGCAACCCAGTTCTGCAGAATCAGAATCAATGTTGAGTTTAAGCAAATGAATGTGCCAATTGGAGTAAAGTGCCATGCAGATTTAAATTTTTCCCACTTGTGACGAATGCAGCTATTGATTTTTTTTTGCATGCTAGCATGCTAGTTAACATTTATGTCAGTCAGCTGTTGGCTCTCACACTGGCCAATAGAATCTTCCTGCCTATTCATGGCAGCCAGCTATAGGCTCTCACTCGGGACAGTAGAAAATGGCCGCAAACTACATGAAAACTGCCATAGAAGCATGAAAAAATCGATTATTTCTGCTATCGATGAGAGTTGGGAAATGCAAAGTCAGTCTTGACCTTCCTGCTAACTTGGAGCATGTGCATGTAAATTTTGGTGCAAATCCGTCAAAAATTGCGGCCGTGCATTCATTACACACAAACACACACATCCTGCCTTTTATAGATAGAGATATACCAGCAATTTTTCAGCACCCTTAGTTCCAGAACTGTATCAGATTATCCGTTTTGCCAGACCAACACAAGTCACATGATAATAATTCCATATTACACCTCTGATTAACGAATTATGCATTTCTCATATCTCTGCATCATTATCATCTGTTAGAAACTTATATTAAATTAATATTAAATTCATCACCACCTGTCGCTGCCCAGTGAATTCATCTAGCAATTGTGTGAATTTCAAATTCTGGCTGGTAATTTTGTCTGGAATAAAATAGGTGCTGAAAATCAATGGTAACCCAGTTCTAGATATATAGGTGAAATATTCCAACACAATAAAACACCTTGTTCTGCATGACATGCAACAAACAAGTTTCTAACGGAAGACATGCCAGATGTCTTGAAACAATTTTAAATTTGTATTTCTTCATCCTGTATTAAGTTTCTTTCTTTTTCCTTTTTCCTTTTTCTTTCTCTTGACCTTTTCTTCTTCTTTTTTTCTTGTTCCTTTCATCTTTTTCTTTCTCTCGTCCCTTTCATCTTTTTCTTTCTCTCGTCCCTTTCATCTTTTTCTTTCTCTCGTCCCTTTCATCTTTTTCTTTCTCTCGTCCCTTTCATCTTTTTTCTTTCTTCCTCGTCCCTTTTCCTTTCTTTTCCTTTTCTTCCTCGTCCCTTTCATCTTTTTTCTTTCCCTCGTCCCTTTTTCTTTCCCTTTTTTTTCTTTCCTCGTCCCTGTCTTTTCTTTTTTCTCCTTTTCTCTCATGCACTTCTTCCTTTTCCTTCCCTCATGCACTTCTTCCTTCTTCCCTTTTCTTTTCCCCCTCATGCACTTCTTCCTTTTCTTTCCCTCATGCACTTCTTCCTTTTCTTTCCCTCATGCACTTCTTCCTTTTCTTTCCCTCATGCACTTCTTCCTTTTCTTTCCCTCATGCACTTCTTCCTTTTCTTTCTCTCATGCACTTCTTCCTTTTTTTCAAACTGCCAAGACAGGCATATGTCTTCTGTAGCAATGGTTGTGAGTAGTTCTTTGAGCTGAGCTTGAAGATAGCTGATGCTAAAAAGGAAAAATGAAAAAGAGCTGGCCTTGAAAGTAGTGGCCGCTGAAAGGGAAAGTGGAAAACTGGACCAAACAGGGCGTGGTCAATGTTTTTTATGAGTTCTGGGACCTCCTGTCGTTCCCTGCTGATTACTTTCATTGATGCTACTACTACTGAAGCATGCCACAATCGTCAACAAGTGAGACAGTTATTTTAACTCATACTGTGTTAATGTGAATGTAACTACTTGCACTACAGTTTTAAATGACCACAGATGCTACAACTTTGTCAAACAGCTTCTTAATAAAAAAGTACACAAATTCATTTTTTAATTCAATGACTCGTTTAATTTTGTTGGTAACTGTAGACAAAAATAGTCCAGTTTTGACAATATTTTTTACAAATGCTTACAGAAATGACAATTGTCACAATACAACCAAAAGAGAGATTTTTTTTTTTAAAATGTAGTTATTTCAAACTAAAAACATAATGTAATCTTATGAAATAAACAGAATGGGCTTCTTGGTTAATCTAATTATTTTCTTAAAATATTTTGTGTAGAAACCATGTAATCACAAGGAATAGGACCACTTTAGAACTTGCAGAAAAAAAGAGATAAGAAGAAAATTTTAAAAAGTAAGGAAAACTCTGAATTTCAAACAATAGAGAATGTAACGGAAAACCACTCCAAAGCATTACAATTCACTGATAATTAACCCTTTCACTGCTACTCATTTGCCCAGTGCTGCCCCCATCCGGCCAGCCAGCCATTTTTAAAGAAAATGCCAAATTTCAACCTACATATTTTATTACACAGAAAACTGGCACCAGTGTGTTTTACAGCCTTCCATTTTCATGGATATACCTGGGAATGACTTACCAGATCAATAATGGGTATACACATGATATCTTTTGAAGCATTGTCCTTTGTGATTTTATGATAGATGGCGCAACGGGACACTCATACCAGCAGAGTCTGTCTATATTTCTGAGATGAGGTATTATGTACAGTATTTACATTAGTCGGACTATTGTCCTCATATTTGTCGCCATATTTGTCACAACGTTTCAGCCGTTGTATGCTCCGGCCTTCTTCAGGTGGTTGGAATTTCGAACTGAACCCTTTATTTCGCTCACCGGGGTAGACTGTTCTAGTTCCACATGCCATGTTTGATGGATGTCAGTTATCAGTTCTCCTGTTAATTTTCCCTTGGAAAGTTCTCCACTGCCTTAACCAGGTATTGTCCTCAAGGACACACAGTGGATAAAGGCGTTGGTTAGATCCAGTGACAGACGGTGAGTTCAATACCTGGTTAAGGCAGTGGAGAACTTTCAGAGGGAAAATTAGCAGGAGATAACTGATAACTGACATCCATCAAACATGGCACGTGGAACTAGAACAGTCTACCCCAGTGACCGAAATAAAGGGTTCAGTTCGAAATTCCAACCACCTGAAGAAGGCCGGAGCGTACAACGGCCGAAACGTTGTGACAAATATGGCGACAAAGATGAGGACAATAGTCCGACTAATGTAAATACTGTACTCATACCAGCAGTATGCAAAAAACGTAGGTTTCTGTATTTAGCCAGCTGGAGCAAGATAAGAAAAATGAAGATGTCCGTAGTTAGCAGAGGAAGTGTTAAAAAAGAAGAATTTGTGGTGGGCAATGTCATGGAGGAACATTTACCATTTAAACATATGGCTTGAGAATTGGTTGTTAAGTATTATACAAGTGTGGATCAATAAGTCTGTAGCCAGAGACATTTTCACTGTATAATATTCAATCTATGCAATTAATATTCAACACTGAATTAAGTTTTTTCACAAGGAAGGAGATTATGTTGAAAAATAAATATTAATGTCAAATTTTTTTTTTCTTCATTAATCTATGGTCTTGTTGATGTATCAATATAGTTTTCAACAATTCCTCATTTAAGCATTTTAAAATTGTTTACTCCTGTTTTTTACCTCTTCAAACCAGATTTGCATATATATCTGCACATATTTCTATCAGATGCAAATTCTATTCCATCTCTGAATTCCTGCAATGATAGTTATCTTTATTTAAATTATTTACATGTGGATTATTGTCCTCATCTTTGTTGTTGTTATTATAACATTTTAGCTGTCGTGCCTTCTGGCCTTCAGCAAAAGTATATCGAACTGGGTAAACCCCTTTCAAACGGAAGGAACTCTTTATTTTATCTACAGGAAAATAGCCTAGTGGATTAAAGCATTTCTTTGTAAATTTAGTGATATAGTAATTGTGAGTTCAATCCCTGATCCAGGCAGTGTGTACTTGGACTTGGTGTTAACACTGGTGAACAATAACCAAGCAGTACTAAAAAATAAGAACTCAATGAGAAATCTTTAGACATGGGATGAGAACAATCTGCCCCTGTATAGTAAATAAAGAGTACAGCTTGAATTTTAACTAAGTTACCCGGACTGACATACACCTGATAAAGCCCAAAGGGTACAATGACCAAAACATAATAACAACAAAGATGGGGACAATAGTCTACATGTAAATAGTGTAAATATATAAATTCTATTCTGGAGATAAAAAAGACTTATGCAAAGTTTATTTTTTTTAACAGCATAGGAGGATCTGTGAAAGGAAGCGACTTACTCATCATACTGAATGTAAAAGTGTTATTTCATATTGTATTAATAATATACATTAATGTCTCTTTACATACAAGGCTTTTAGCTTGACAAATTAACAAACATAAGTGCTAAAATCCATGCACAGTAGAAAAAAACAAAGCCTAAATTATAGAGGATGAGACCCGCTGCAAATCTTAATTATTTATAACAAAATACTTTCTTCCATTTTTAAACCAGAAAATACAGCATGAGGAAAATTTTGTTACAAAGAAAGAAAGAATACAGAACTTATATAATATCAATCCTCCTATATAGCAATCAATGCTAGACAGTCTCTTCACAGATGAAGAAGGCTTACAGACACATCATGTTGAAACACCAGTTCCCTGTACAATCACCAAAGTTAAGCCACATCAAATCTGGGCAGTATCTAGATGGGTGACCACTTCATAAGACCAGGTGCTGTAAGCTTGGATATACTGGTGGTATAATGGATAATGACACAGAATTTTTAATCAGAGGGTCGAGTTCCAATTCCTGTTGGGCTTGTTATATTCACTTACATGTAGATATTCTTGGGAAAGGTATGAATCAACCTTTTCTCCCCCGGCTATGGCTTAATTAGTAAGACTTATATAACTAAATCATTATTATCGCAAAAAAAATCATTCTCATAATCTAAAAATATTTTTTGGATTTAAATAATTTGTAAAGGGCTGATAAGTCATAGAAAAGGAATCAATCACTTTTAGAAGGTAGTGAATGTCGAACTAACTTATTACAGATGAAGAAAGTTGAGTCAACAGAAATGTCATTCTACAAAGGATGTTCAGAATCCAATGGGCTTAATATGTGAGCAATAATGAAGTTTTAGAGAAAATAGAAAAAAGAAATGACACGTGCATAAAATCTGAAAGAGATAGTTGAGATTTATCTGGCACAAAATGAGAAAAGAGAGCTTGGAGAATTTGACACTCACAGTACATGCTAAAGGCAAGAGGGACATAGCAAACAACAAACACCCTACCTTAATGAGCTTGTGTAAATGGTTAACAGAACAGAGATTAGGGGAGATAGCAAAAAGATAAGACTTATATGTTATAAAGGACAGGAAATTGTGGAGAGCCATAATCACTCAAGGGACATGGCAAATAGAAGAAATGCAAATGAATTGAGCTATTTGAAACCATGATCTGAAAAAATGCACAATTGGGGAAAAAATTGTAAAGGTTTTTAGAATTCTTAGAAACTTTTAGCAATTTAACTGCAGTTATTATTTAATGAGAAAATCAATCACTTCAGTGAACAGTTTATACAACTTTAAATATTTCATTGTATATTTTACAAAGTATCTAATCTTTCTCTATTCTTAAGAATACAAAGTGATAAAAACAAACATTTAAAATAGCTCTGCATTTACAGAAATTTTATTTATAGAGAAAATAAATACTATTTACATTATTTGGACTATTGTCCTCATCTTTGTCGCCATATTTATCACAATGTTTCAGCCGTTGTATGCTCCGGCCTTTTTCAGGTGGTTGGAATGTCGAACTGAACCCTTTATTTCGCTCACCGGGGTGTCGACTGTTCTAGTTCCAAGTGCCATGTTTGATGGATGTCAGTTATCAGTTATCTCCTGTTAATTTCCCTCTGAAAGTTCTCCACTGCCCACAAAATCAAGATGTGACACAAGGTTGAACCAGGCGTTTCCACTCAAGGCCACTGGTTTGGTCATAGCTTGTCCAAGCTGGTCAGAGCCTACTGGTCATGACTTGTCCCTAACAGGTCAGGCCGAACCAGTCCCACTAGTCAAAGCCTTTCGATCTCAGCCTTGACCAAAAAGCCATGTGTCCCCCCAGAAAAGGACATAACTCACACTCTTTGGGTCCTGATCAAAATGATCCAGTGTGCCATGTGTCCTTGACATATGGTGACAAAGTCCTGAATAATGTAAATAATGTACATAATACCTCATCTCAGAAATATAGACAGACAAAATAAACACTGTTCAAAATTAAAATTTTGATTATAAAACTTGTTTTAACCCAGACAATGCAAGATCACCTTTACATTGTGACTTTTTTCTTGTGTGTGTGTGTGTGTGTGTGTGTGTGTGTGTGTGATCTCTTGCATTGGATTGTTGTGATATTTTAGTTTTTCGCATTTTGGCTCTTCCTCTTTTTTTTGTTGTTGTTGTTACTTCTTGAAATTTACTAATGTTCTTTTCTGCAATTGCGCAATAGATTCTATCCAGATTTAACAAATTACTCGATGCCAGGTTTCATTCTCTAAAGATTTTATGGACTTGTACCAGATTTATTGTCAAGGCAACTATTAAACCTCCTCCTCCTCTTTCATCATTTCTTTTTACATTTTCTGTTCTTA